CTAACGCTTGAAGGATTCCTCATCCGCTTCCGCTCGCTTTTCTGCTTCGTTGGCTCGCGTCCTTCTTCGACGCCGACGGTTCGTCTGTCTCTTGATTTCGATGATGACGTGTTCGCGTCTGCTCAACAAGTCCAACCGTTTGTTTCAATTTTGACGAGACGTCCAGCCGCACCCTTCTGCGCAGTTTCCCTGCCCAACAGCTTCGGTTCGGGTCTACTACTTTCTATTCGACGACGAAGTTTCGTCTTTCTATTCTTCGCCGACAGCAATTCCTTTGAGATCCTCTAACAGGTGAATTTCATACTCTCATGGCGCTTCCTTCTTCGTTTGAACCTGTCCAAGTCTCCTTTGCCCACGTGGTGGGTAATCCTCAAGGGGAGTCGGCGGTTGTCTTCCCCTCAAGTTATAAGAATTGTCGTGATGGTACAGGTGATTGCCCCTTTGTTAAGAATGTAAGTAGGAAAAGTGAAAAAATAACATTTTTTTTTCTCTAAGTTAGAAATTTCTACCCTCACTGAGAAATTCAAATTCACTCTCATCGGAAAATTTTAGTGGCGGCACCCACCAATGGAAGTTATCCGAAAAAGTTTTGATGACTTCAAACTAGTAAGAAAATGAAAAGTGATGCTCATAGATGGGAGACATTTGTTGATCCAATTAACTGTGGCTGAAAACTACACATGAATTTTCTCCAAAAAATATCTTACCACTGCAGGCAAGTCAATGAAGTAACTCAAGTGGTCTCCCAATTTCGACTCTAATCATTAATCTCCTACTGTACCGGTTTGGTTTAGTCTATATGGTCTCAAGCTCCACTTCCACTTTTTTCATCATCAGTTCTTTACTCTATTGAGGCAATACTTGGGGATCCTATGAAGCTAGATCTACCCACTTTCAACCTAACCAGACATTTTATGGCCAGAATACTTGTAGAAAGAGATATTACTTTACCTGATGTTGCTGAAGTCTGGCTGCGCATAACTTATAATGGATATTGGCAACAAGTTATCATGGAACACAGACTCCCATATTGTACCCACTGTAAGATGTTTGGGCATATCCCTGATAAATGCCACAAGCTCCATCCTAATTTGAAATCTAAGGTTCAAGTGGATAAGAATGTGTCTAACCCCACTGCTCCGAATATTTCAGTTCCACTTGAGGAGGATACTGTCAGACAGGAGGTGTTTGTTGCCCCTGTAGACCCCCCTAACACTGTTGTTACTGTTACTGAGATTAATGTGCTGCTAACACCTTCAAACCCCATAGAAAACAATACTGAAGAACTTTTACCTACAAAGAATAGTGTTCAGACTGATAATCAGGAGAATCTCGCAGCTCCTCATCTTCTGAAAGTATCTGGTGTAGAGGCAACTCATACTTCACATATACTAGAACCTATTGTGCGTATTACGGTTGGTAATCCTTCTGCTACAGCTCTGCCACCTCACCAGACTGATTCTTTGGATGAAGAATGACAGGTTTACACTTCCAGGAGGAAGAAAAAGAAGAAAGATTTACTCGAGCTCAGGAGTCTTATGGATGATATTTTGGCTACTTTGAGTAATGGTACGCACCTTACCAATTTGTTAGTTGGATATCTTCCGAGAACTAGAGGCAGAAGCAAAACTAAATTGGGATGACCCTTGCGCCCTGTTGGCTTTGGGTTTTTTCTTATTTGTATATGTATATATTTTGACTTTTTGTGTGTTGCACCATGTGGGTTGGGTGTCTATTTTTTGGTCCACTCATACAACCTATCTGTACATTTTCTCTTTAATATATTAGCCTTTGAGTTTTTTTTAAAAAAAAAAAAAAGTGTGTTTTTTTTAAAAAAAAAAAAAATATATATATATATATATATATATATGTGTGTGTGTGTGTGTGTAATTTTTATTTTGTATTTTGATCTTTTATCCTTCTACAAAAATATTTTAGCTGCATATTTAAGCATGTCAATTTGTTATTGTAATGTGCACGATTTAAGTATTGATATAATCATTATCCTGATTATTAATTTGATTGTATTTATGCATGATTCCATCTTTTCAGCTTTTTCTAACACATATAAAATGTTAAAACCAAACAAAAAGAACAACTTTTAAGAAATAGTAGCTCAATATTTGGTCTACCAACAAGAAAAAAAAAAGATTTTGGACATTAACTATTTATTATAATTTTTCTACTAGCGAGTTTATACCTAACTTTTCAAACATCAGAAGGCATATCAAATGAAATCCTATCAACGTCTTCATCAAATTCATCACCATAAAAAAATATTAAGATGAGCTTTACTCATAAGACAATGTGTAATTAATCGATGCACATATAATCCCGTTAAAATTATGTCTGACTAGATAGAGTACTTGAAAAATAAATTTGATAGTTAAATGCATCAAATTTAACAATATTTTCTCCAAATGTCCTATGAATAATCTAACATAGGTTCCAAGCAAACTACTTTTGAGCTCAATAGTTAATAAGCTGATTTAAAAAAGATGCAAATACACAACCAGCAAAAAAAAAGAAATAACGAAAATGGAATGCGATGAAGTTATATGGTAGAAACTCAATACATAAAAAACTAGAATAAATGTGTGGCCCAATGAATGAAGGACAAGGCGATTTCATGCACATATCTTGAAACAACAAAAATTATGACTCACCATTCCCTTGTTCATGGATTCAAGCAACAAACTTTGCAATTTATCGCTCAACATTTCTAAATCAAAATCAAAATCAAAATTTCAATGCTATCAGCTTAATTTGTGCAAATATCATGACAACACTTAACCTAAACTACAGGTTCCTATCACACATATGAAAGAAATTTCTCAAGATCGCTCCCGCACTTACATTCTCAATATAAGGAAATTAAAGCTGATTGATCCATGTGATAAGTTCAATGTATGTTAGTGGAATTTTTTAGGGATACACCTATAAACTACACATGATTTTCTATATAAACTCAACTTAAGGCAAACACCTTTCAGAATTCTACACAAAACTCAATTGCCCGCAAAAAGATCCCTTGTAAGGAGTTTAGTTGATTTAAATGCAACTACAAGGCATGCAGTGCAAATCAATTTCTCATTGGTGATTAATAACTGCAACGAAGAGAAATTTATTGGCCTGTTGATTTCCACCTAAAGAAGGTTGACAAATAAGTAGTAGCAAAAGATGGTTTTATTCAAATCTCCCATGGAGTGAGTCTTTGTCATGGCTCGATAAAGGTTTAGGATGAGTTATGGAAAAGGGTAGAACATTTCAATGCAAACAATGTAAATTACGGAAGAAAAAGTTTAAGGAAATTTAGAATTGAAGTTTCTAAAATTCAAACTTTATTGTTATATGTATATCAATTTTCAATTGATATTCAAATTAAGATGTTGAAAAAGGAACAATAGACGTGTGTATGGGTGGGGGAGGGAGAGGTCGTTATGGATCTGTAAGCACAACAAAGGCACAAGGAAAGAGGAAAGACCTCCATGCAAACCAATCTTAGAAGTTTAAGCTAGCTTTAGAAACAAAATTCATGCAGTGGAAGAATTGGTGTGTTGGGGGAAATTTTGTTTAAAGCATCAATAAGCATAATGAAAGTCTAGAAAAGGAGTAAGGCTTCAAGAGCCTAATCATAGAAGTTTAGGCTAACTCTGATAACAAAATTGCCAGTGGAAAAATTGGTTGACCTTTCTAAGTAGTATAGGTGATTTTTCTGTTCTATTTTTATGGTTTGAAGGACTGAATGCAACTATGCAAGGAGAGACTACTTAAAGGAATCCCAAAAAGGTAACATAAGTAGTATGATGGGTGTTGGGAAGAGACAACCGTGAATTAATAGCTAACTATTAAAGAGAATAAAATGTAATGAAAAAGAGAATGGAAAAAGATAGACAAGATTAGAAGAACAAGAGGGAATAGTAGAATTCACAGGAGATGAGAAGTAAAAGGAGAAATAAAAACAGTCTTGTACAAACTCAATTTATCATTACAACCAAGCATCCAAATTGTAGAATAGGATCCAAAGACATGTCTATAAAATAATCAAAATAAGTACGGCAAAAATAATAGCACTAAAACAAAAAACAAAAGTAACGAAGCTACGACTACAAGGATAAAACAACGACATTCATTTTTGAAAAAAGAAAACAAAAATGGGCATCATAATCATCAATTCGAAAAGGTTGGTATAAAGCATAGAAACTTCACTGACCCTTTCCATGTAAAAGACAACGATTCATTGGCCAAAACTAAATATATCATTACAACCAGGCATCCTAATTGTAGAATAGGATCCATAGACATGTGTATAAAATAATCAAAATAAGTACGGCAAAAATAATAACACTAAAACAAAAAAACAAAATTAACAAAGCTAAGACTAAAAGGATAAAACAAAGACAATTATTTTGAAAAAAGAAAACAAAAACGGGCATCATAATCATCAATTCAAAAAGGTTGGTATAAAGCATAGAAACTCCATTGACACCCCCTATCAATAATCTAACTCCACTAGCAGTCAACCAATAAAAGTTCATGAACCCCTTAGAACAAGAATGAAAAAAAGTAAAATTACACAAGTTGAATTTTTGTTATATAGTCTCACTAATTGACTCGACAAAAGATTTATGAGATCATTGCACAATTTTTTAAAGAAAAACCACAATGAATATAAATAGGAATATAGAAAAAGAAGCATTAGTTACGAAATGATATGTGGCTAAGTGGTTTTAGGAGAAAATTGCTTCTAAAAAATCATGGTTTTGAATCACATACTTCATGATTTATCGCTTAGCATTCCAAAGAAAAAAACATTTCTATTTTATTAACACATGTCAAAATAACTTCATGAACATAAAATGAAATTCAAATTGACTATACTTAAATGTTTCCAAGGCGATATCAAACTTAGTGGAGAAAAAACTCAAAATCCGTTGCTATAAGAAAAAGAAACCCCATATGATGAACAAAGGTTAATTGTATTAGCTTCTAAAAATTACCATAATTGTAGTTCCCAATATTGCTTCTATATAGTCAATACTAATATCTGAATACAAATTAAGACCCTCCCTTCTGATTCCTGGTTTCTTGATGATGTGAATGAAGAGATAAAGCTCACCAACAATACCCCTGCATAAGAAACAAACTTATGATGCCAGATCAACATGGCTAAAAATAATTAGCTACAAAAGTTATAATATCTTGAGCACATCCAACTAAAAATAAAGAAGAACATCTATTAAACATATACGCTAAAACATCTTACAATTGATATGAAATCAAATAACAACAAATTCAAATATAAGACTATCTAGCAAACATATGAAGTTTAATGGCAATTCAACCCATGCATAAGTTTACATCCAAGAGGCAGACAAAAGTTTAAATTGGTTAACCATATAAAAAGTCCCAACCTAGATGAGCATGTCCAATTGGCAATCGCTTAAGTTGTTGGCTCTATTTTGAATTTACAAATATCAATTTAATTAATATACTTAGTAATGCCCTGTTATATATCAACTATAATTAACATGGGCAATATAACAAACCTATAATGGAGGGAGCCCATAACAACTAAAAGAATGTATCACAACTATAAACATTTCTAGAGGCATACCTTTTTTTATCTGAGCTTCCTTCACCCTTAATTATAATGGTGGATCCATCAACAACACCTGCAGGAATATCTACTTTGACACTCCGCTTGATTTGTAATTTGCCCTCACCGTTGCACATTTTGCAATGATCAGTTGTGACCTTCCCACTACCACCACAATTTAAACAACTAGATACCTACAAATAATGAAACATACAAATAGCAATTGAGAAATAGTAATTAAAATACGATAGCGATGAGTTGAACAGAGCATTGACCTTAATACAACGAAAATTAAGCTAAACAATATATCCAGACATTTCTTTTCTAATTCATTTTCTTATGGATATTAAAACATTAAATGCCAACAAAAATGTATGAAAAAACATACATATACCATGCCCAAAGCACACATCAGTCTCGAAAGAAAAATGATGGTCGTAATAAGATAGACATCAACCAAGTGATAACAAGAAGAAAATACCTACTAATTTTTGACTTCTATGATTTCTAAATTTCCTATTCATCCTTACCAAAATACCAAATCATGACTAAGGTTAAATCCATTTTAACTTCACTAAAATATAAAAGCATCACTAGTTTATAGTTAGAATCACTAAAATGCTTGACCACAAAAATAACAACACAGAAATTAACGACACTAATCCTACTATATTTTATGGATCCATATTTTGGTGAGAAAAAAATGCTTATAGCTAAGTTGAGTTCTGAAAAGATGAGAAATATAAAATGGATGACATAAAACTATAAAGCAAGGCGAAAAATTAACAGTAAACAACCGACGTTGATAGCAGCTGTTGATGAAAAACAAATTAAAAAATAGAATTGAGTGATTTAGACATGCAAAAAGTGGGAAAAAATGTCCCAGTAGCATAGAAAAAAGTAAAAATAAAAGGTGCAAAATAGGCCAAAAAAAAATTTATTACACAAACAAGAATCATTTAAAAATCATATAATACTCATGGTTAAATTGAGGTTGATCATATGAATTCAGCATCTCTCAATCTTCTCAAAACTTTTACTGCATGATAATTTAGATTGCGGCCTTTAACTGTACATGCCGTTAATAGGAAGAGCAGGGTAGCATTAATGGATTATTTCTATCATATGTATCTTTTACAAATTTCTCATTCTAACGGAATAAAGAAACTTGGTAAAAGATTAAAACTAAACCAACTTGATTCTGATTTACAAGAAAAACCATATAAGTTGATTAGTATTTACACATTAGCATCCCTTAGAAGAAAAAAATGACAAAGAAGGTTCATGTAGCCAATATAAACGTTTAGGTAAGAATGGCAAAGTCTACAAATCTCCAAACAAAATTTTACAGGGTATGTGATTATAAATTTGTTGAATACGTCAATAAATGAGCGCTCACAAGAATGAATTTCCTCCTTAGGGAAGACTTTTTATGTATCTTTTAGCATCAATAACTGGAAAGAGTTGAGGAGATCAATATTGAAATTTCAGACTGGATGCGTCCCCGTTCTAAACTCCACAAAGCTTGATGTAATCTAATGCAGAATCTTCAGTTTCCACATGACTATGTTTCTCAATTGACCTTTGCCTGGCTAAGTTTGTGATACTTCAGTTGAATAAAATTGGAAAGTAGGATCAAGCTCGTTTGCTACAGGATTGGCTTGGAGTACTGAGCATACATTATGAAGATAATCAGCAAAGTATGACTATAATCAATTTCCAATATAGAAAAGTTCAACAAAAAAACAATTAAGGTTTTCTTCAACAACTTGAACTTCACTAAATAAACCACATAACAGCGTGGCAAGGACCATACAGTTACAGCAGTAACCAAGGTAGGTGATTCAAATTAGAGTATTAATGATGACACAACAGAACGTGCAAGAAACTCCTGACAAAGAGACAAATAAATATTTATTTTAAGTAATAGACAAGTGTTGTGTTGAGTTTAGGCATCATCTTTCCACATATACTTAGATTTGGACAGTTCATTCTATCCACTGTTTCAACAAAAGCATGAGTTAGACATCATCATCACATTCTAGTTAGTTTCTACATAATTGTTACAATGTCTTTGAACGCATATATGCCACCTATAAATTTTTTATTTTTTCTATCCAAGGCTTTTGTGAAATTAGGTAATGATTTGTCATCCATATACCATGCTTATAAGGACTATTATAAAAAAAGATTAAACATTGTGCCTTTGGTAAGCTTTTTTCAGATTTGACGGTGCTTAGGAGCAGCATCATGGCTTACTCTTGTGTTCCAAGCATGAAGACAACAGATTGAAAGCTAGCTGCCAAGCTTAAACAACAAAAGATTAACCTGCAAATCAAGTTGATAATCAATTCACGAAGTTTATCTAGTCGCATTCGGGAGCAAAAAATCTCCTTGGCTTTATTTGGATTAAGAAAAGCAAAAAAAAAATGACAAAAATTCATAACTTTCTTCTTTTAATTTGTCAAATTTTTACTATATAATACTATGTATTATGGCAGTGAGGTGGAGCATACTCTGCCTAACCGAATTATACTGCAAATTCTAAAGAGGTACAAGCTTAATGTAAGGTTTCAGCATAATTTTTGATCGAAGAGGTAGCTTTCTTGGAAAAATCAATCAAAGTTGAAATTTACACAAATTTCCTCTAGGTCAAGACAATGATGGATTGATCGAGGTTGACTAATGCTATAGAGGTGCCTAGTTTTTTTGGTTTGGCAAGTTATTATGAAAAATCTATTGAGGGACTTTCAAAATTGCTCACCTTCAACTAAGCTAACTCAAAAGGCCACCAGGTATGCAACTTTCAATTCAAGTGAGTAGAGCTTTCAGAAGCTCATAGATGACTTGGTGTCAGCTCTTGCTCGCATCATTCCTCAAGATCTTACTCTAATCATTCCTGAAGCAGTAATGGGTTCAAATTTATAATAATGACTTTGTATGCAAGCTTGGATTGTGTTTTAATACAGTAGGGTTTAGTTGTAGCATATATCTCTAAGAAACTCGTGGTGTCTGAGAAGAATTAATCTACTTCTAATTTGTAAATAGTTGCTAGTATCATTACCTCAAATCTCTAAAGAAACTATATTGATAAGGTTTAGCATAAGCTTTTCAAATATCGCAAGGATTTGAACATTCACTCGAAAAAAAGTTGAACATAAGATAAGGATAATGTCTTAAACTAATGATGGACTATAACTTACAAATAAACAACAAACAAAAGAAGTCGGATGGTTTCGTAGATGTTCTGAGCAACAAGCTTTCAATTGGGGTAGCTTAGTGTTGACCTCATTTAATGTGACGTATATCTTCTTCTTAAGATGTGCTTGGCAAACAAAAGAATAGTTTTTATAAATAAAAATAGTTTGTGGTGAAATAATAATGTGCAAGAAAAGATAAAATATAAGAAGTTATGTTATAAAAACTGGTTTAAAAGTAAAAGTTTAGAGAACTAGGAAAAACATCAAACCGCTCGCAGGAGTCTAAAATTAGATAAGTAAGATTATTTTGTTATCATTTTAGTTGTGATAAAAAAATTTAAAAATTCCAAATGGGTCTCGGCTTACAAGAAGTTATAACATGAAATTATTGGAGATGGTGATGGAATAAAGAATGAGTGGTGTGACAAAGATTTCAGAAAATCAAGTTAGTGTTTGCAAGTACGTAGAGCAACTATGGAGGCTAGTTTTCTATTACGAAGTTCATTTTTAATGAAGTTTATGAAAATACGATCGGCCTTAGTGATCTTAATATTGTGAATAATAATAAAACGTTTCAAAACGTTTCATAAAACGTTTCATTTTTACCATCGCATTAGTAAAAAATAAGTTGAGGAGGCTCTAAAGAAAACAAAGGGTGGAAAGTCTGTAGGACCTAATGATATCCCAACTGAAGTGTGGAAATATTTGAGAGATTTGGGAGTTTCTTGGCTTACTAAACTCTTTGATATTATTTTAAAAACTAAAAAGATGCCTGAGAAGTGGAGGGAGAGTATTTTGGTCCCCATTTTTAAGAATAAAGGGGATGCACAAAAGTGTGCAAATTATAGAAGAATTAAGTTGATGTGTCATACTTTAAAGTTATGGGAGAGGTAATTGAACATAGGTTAAGATGCATCACAAAGATTTCTCATAATCAATCTGGAATTATGTCGAGCAAGTCTCCTATGGAAGCTATACATTCATTGAGTTCCAAGAGATATCCTTTGGAGCGTTCTTGAGAAGAAAGGTGTTGATATGACTTATATTCAAGTTATTAAAGATATGTATACTAGAGTTGTTACTTGTGTTCAAACTGAAGGAGGATTGACCAAATATTTTCCTATTTCTGTTGGATTACATCACGGATCAGCTTTAAGCCCGTATCTTTTTGCTTTAGTTATGGATGGTCTTATTGGACATCTACAGTAGGATGTACCTTGGTGAATGCTTTTTGCTGATGATATCCTTCTCATGGATAAAACGAGAGAAAAAGCCCAGGAACAACTTGAATTATGGAGTCTAAAGGCCTTCGTTTAAGTAGAACTAAAACTGAATACATGGAATGTAATTTTAGTAGTAATAGCTCTAGTGACAGAAGTGTGACTTTGGGTGATCAAATTATTAAAAGGTGTGAACGATTTAGATATCTTGGATCCATTGTTCAAAGCAATGGTGATATAGATGGGGATGTTAATAGTAGAATTCAAGTTGGTAGATTGAAGTGGAGGAATGCTTCGAGTCTTTTGTGTCATAGAAAAGTACCGCTTAGACTGAAAGAAAAATTTTATAAGACGGTTGCGAGAACTGCAATGCTCTATGGCGCTGAATGTTGGCCTTTAAAAGAGAAGCATAATAATAAGTTAAGTGTTGCCGAGATGAGAATGATTAGGTGGATGAGTGGCTTTACACTTAGAGACAAAATGCGAAATGAATATATCTGTGATAAAGTTGGTGTAATTCCTGTGACAGACAAAATTAGAGAAAGTCGTCTTAGATGGTTTGGTCACATTAAACGTCGACCATCTGATGAATCCGATTAGGAGAGTAGATGTTTAGATTCGATTTGTGCTAAGAAAGGCTGAGGTAGACCTAGGAAAACTTGGGCTTATTGTATTAAAAATGATCTTAATTTACTAGAACTAAATGAAAATATGACACTAAATAGGATGCAATGGAGAAAAATAATTCATGTAGCCGACTCCACGTATTGGGAT